ATTATATATATATAAAAAAAAATACATATTTATATATTTAAATTATTAATTGTTTTTATTAATTTGTTTATTCTTTTAAAATTATAATAAAATATATATAGTTATTATAAATAAATAAATTATTTATTTATTTGTTTATAAAAATTTAAATAATAAATTATTTTTTTATTAAATAATAATTAGGAATATGATATTTTTAATTAATAAAATAAAAAAATTAAAATTATTAATTTAAAATAATCAATACTTAAAAAAAAAAAAAAAAAAAATTTTGAAAGTTAAAAAAATCAAAGCAATTATAGATTAACTTATTAAAAAATATAATTATATCAATAAAATAATAGATTAAAAAAAATGAGTAATAATAATATTTTTATAAAAAAAATTATATAATTATAATTATTTTATATTAGTATATAAATAAAATAAAAGAAATATATTAAAATTTAATATATAAATAATTATATTAATAATCAATATAAAAATATATTTATTTAACTATTTTTTAAAAATAAAATATTAAATAATAAGAATCTATAATAAATATATTATTAATCCATTATATATATATATAAAAAAAATATATAGAAAACACTATTTTTAACCAATATTTATTTTTTAGTGCAAATATTAGTAATTTTATAGATATTTAAAAATTATGATCTTTATATTAATAAAAAAATAATTTAGTTGAATTTTCAAATCTATAATATATAGTTGTATAAAAATGAAGTATAAATAAAATAAATAACTCAAACATAAGATCATTTGTATTTTTGGAACAATAACATAATATTTAGTTGAATAACGCGATTTTAATAAGTGTTTTTTCTAATATATAAAATAAATAAAATACTTAGTAAAATCGAAAGCCTTATTAATTTGATTTAAATATAAAGAAATAGGAATTATATAATAATCTTAATATTATAAGGCACTAATAAAAAGTTTGAAAATAATAATAAATAATTTAAAGAAATAAATTCTTAAATATTTATAAAAATAAAGAATTAAATTTGAATTAATTATTTTTTTACTTTTTTATATTTACAAAAATAATTTAATAATATTTTTTTTTTATATATATTTATAAAAATAAACTTAAAAAAAGAAGAAAAAAAGTTTTTTTCTAAAATTTAATTAATATAAATGATTATCAAAGAGAAACAAATATTTTTTTTATTCATTATAAATAGTCATGGACAACTTATTTATAATAAAGTAATAAATTTAAAATTTTATAATATTATATAAACTAAACAAATATTACAAAAATAAAATAATTTAATATTACAAAAAAGAATATATTAAAAAAGAAATGGGTATAGATGAATTAGTAAATGCAGCCTCAACATTTTATACACTTAATGTCTTATCATAAACGACAATGCCAGTAAACAAAATTATATATATATATATATATATATATATATATATTTATTATATAATATATATATATATATATATTATTTTTTTTTTTCATAAATATTAATAAAGGAATATGTTTAAAATCAATTAAAAGATGTAAAACATGATTATGAATATTAAAAATAGCTCAAAATAGATACAATTTTAAGTGAAGGGTTTAGATTATCATGTTATCATGCAGTAACAGGTCTTAGGTATATTTAAATTAATTAGTTTTTATTTTATTTTATTTTTTCAAAATATAGGTTTATTTTAGTTTCTTCACCGACAAATTTATAAGAAGATAATATGTTTATTTTAAAGTAAGCTTATAAAATATATTCGGATAATGTTTCAAAAGATCCAAATTACATTGTAAATACTAAAAAATATAAAGTTGATTTATTTGTTTTTTTATATTAATAATAAATAGATTGATTAACCTATTAAAAATAAATAATTTGATAAAGAAATTAATGAGTTATTTGAATAATGAAATACATAATATAATAAATGTTTCATATTTATGGATATTGTATTAATTTTATTAATAATTTTTGTTTATTTTAACTTTTTTATTAAAAAAAACATTTATTTCTATATATATATATATGTATATATTAAAAATAATATATAAAATACAATTTTAATAAAAGATAAATATTTTAAAGATATAAATATTAATAATTAACAATATATTTATTTATATATATATATATATATATATTTTTTTTTTTAAAAAAAAAATCAAAATAATACATTTTCATTTAAAATTAAGTTTAAAAAAGTAAATATAATAAAATAAATTTTATTAATCTTTTTTTTTTAAAAAAAATTAAAAAAATGAATTAATATATAAAAATATTATAAATATCAATAATCGTATCGTATTTAATTATTGATTTATTTATATTTTAAAAGTAATTCAATTTGACTAATATTTTAATATAACTTTTATTTTTTTATATTTAATAAATTTTATTAAGATTAAAGGTTTTTATTAAAATAAAAGCATATATTTGAATTACTCAAATTTTATATAATAATATTTTATAATCACAATTTATAAATATGTATTAATATAAACAAAATTTAAAATAAAAGATTTAGACTGTTTATACTAATATTCAAATAAGAATTTTAAAATTTAAAAAAGTTAGTAAATTAAGTGCTTATACAGCCATAATTGTTTAAATGTTTTATGAATTATAGATTGTTTTAAACAATTATAGTTTTATATAAGTTAATAATGGTATTGATTATTATATTAATAAATTATCTTAGTTCGAACTTGTGATTTTGATAGATTATTATATAGGCGATATTAATCTTTCATATAAAGTTATAAGCTTATTTTTTTTAAGTTTAAATTGCTTTATATATATATTTATTTTAATTGATAATTATATTGAATAAAAAAAGCCTGAGATAAAAAATAGTATAAAATAAATATTTTATAACTTTTTAACTGAATATTATAATTTTCACAACAGTTTTTTAATTTATTTAATTTTAGAAGTAAATAATAAAATTATTTAAAAAAATTCTTAAAATTTATTTGTTTGTTTTGCTTATTTAGGAATTATTTAATCATTAATTATAGGTTAAAAATATGATATTAAATATTTATTTATTTATTTTATAAAAAAGGAATTATAATAAATACTAGTGATGTAGATTATTCATTTGAAAATTAGAATTTTTTATAAAAAAGATATTCCAATTTTGAATTAATTAGATTTTTATTATAGTTTTTTATAGTTATTTTTAAATAATATTTAAATAGAACTTTTCATATTATTTATATGTTTTTTTATTTCAATTTTAAGTTTTTTGTAGATTTAAAAGATCTTCTATTTATTTAATAGTAAATTCAAATTATTAATTTTGCTAAAACATTATGTTTAATATATACATCTTTAATCACATTTATTTTTAAGGCTTTATTTTAGATAAACAATATTGAAAATTCAATACTTTTTGGGTTTCCTATTATTTTGAAATTTGCATATTATTTTTATAATTTTTAAACTAAATCAATTTTTTAAAAAATGATTAATTAAAAAGAATATGCGCTTGTTCCAGTTAATATAGTAGATAGCTATGTAAAATATATGGTAAATAATTAAAAATATTATTTAGAGGATTATATGAATAAGTTATAAGGAGTTGTATATGAAAACATTTTTATCAATCATAAAATTAATTGCAGTATAGATAATTTCGGATGTTTTTGTAGACAATTTCAAGTTGATAGTGTAAATAAAATAATAAAATAAATTTATTATATATATATATATATATATATATATATTTATTTATATATTCATTTATTAATTAATTTTTTTTTATTTATGAATTTATTATTTCTTTATTTAATAGTAAAATAATTAATATAATTTATAAAAATAATTTATTGGTGGTGAATAAAGATATAAATATTTTATGTTTTATTTATAAGATCTTTTTGAAAATGCTCCTTAATAAATAAAAAATATTAAATAAAGAAATTAATTTTTAATAATTTATTCTTATTTTTAATTGGAAGTAATGAATGTCATACCAAAAACTTATTGTTTAATATATTATTTAAATTCTATATAATTAAATTTGGTTTAAAGTATATAAGTTAAACTTTTAATTATTAAAATAAACAAGAAATTTAGTTCATTTTTAGAAAATTTAAATTTTAAAAATTAATAACTTTAAATGATTAATGTTATAAATTTTGATTAAAAGATTATTACTTTTAGATAAAAATTAACATAATTACTTATTGATAAATCCCTTTTTTATTAAAGTTTGTTTAAGAAATATATATAATTTTAAGATTTTTAATAAGAAATAATCTAATTATTTAATTAAACATAAGAAATAAAAAAAAGTATATATCAATTATTTAAACTTAATAGTAATAATACTTAATTGATCTAACTTTCTTAAATATACTTATAAACAGTTGAATTCCAAAATTTAAATATAAAGGATTTTTAAAAATTTAATCAAATAAATCCATTATAAAATACTTTGTTTTAAAATCGAAAAAAATAATGTGTACTTTATGTTTCTCTGGTTTTATTTAATGGCATTATTAAAAAAGCTTGCTAAAGCTTCTAGAAAGTTTTTAATATAAAAAATAGTTTTATTTAAGGGAATAATATTAGTTATTTATTACCTTAAGAATTTTAGAAAAATCATGAAGTTTTTATTTAATAATTTTTAAAAGATCCTAGTTTACGAATTATTAAATAAGGTATTATATTTTATTTATATTATTTTTTATTTTTTTATTTTTTAAAAAAAACAATATAAAGGAGATAGATTTGTTTTGGGAAAAAATGGAAATGGATTTTTATTACCATTTAATATTAAATTAAAATTTCAAGTTTTGGAAAATGATTTTGGGGTGTGTTGTGCAATTTAAAAAGATAATAGTTTTGAATATATTCTAATAAATAAATAAGCATAAATTATATCAGTTACTGAGGATATTTACAATACTATTTTTTATAAAATATGTAAGAATTCGAGTAATAAATATATATATATATATATATATATAATTATATTATTATTTTACTTACTTTATATAGATGATTTAAAATAAATTAATTTAAAATTAATTATGCCTTATATAAATGATGTTATTAATGAAAATGAAAATGAAAATCTTATTTATACAAGCCATATTATTATAGTTTCCCAAATCAGTTTAAAAAATTTAGCTTCACAATAAAATATTGAAAAATATTTAGGTTATTCAAGAAACTTTTATATGAATTTTTAGATTTAATATCGTAAGAAAGCTATGTATTCTGTATTAAATAATGAATTTGTTTAATTAGAAATATTTTCAATAAAAAATGCTAATACGTCTTATGATAAAACTCTAACATACACATCGACATCAAAAAAATCATAAAAAAAAAGGGTTTCTGATAATTCTATAATAAAAAATAAGAAAGATTAGACATTCGGTTCTACAGATAAAATAAAATCAATATCAAAGGATATTTCATTGTAGTAAGAAAAAACGGAAGAAGAAAAAAAAATTATTCATTTTTAATAAAAAAGAAATAATAATAAGATATTAAAAATAAAATATTAAATAAATAAGTATCAACTAAATTAATTCTAATGAAACATATAGGGTTTATTTCATTTTTTATACTTTTTTTTTTTATAAGTTTTTTACATATAAATAATTTAGTCAATCTTAATAATTATAATTCTTATATATAAAAATCTACATGGTCAATCGATATTTATTAAGACTTATTAATTTTTAATAAAAATATTAATTTAATTAGCTTAGATTCTGATATGTTTAATTTATTGAATGAAAACATATAATATTTAAAAAGTTATTTCCTAAAAAATCAAAATATTATCAAAGATGATATAATTGATAAGCTTTTAAAGATTCTTAATGATAATTAATCTAGATAACCTTATTATATAATGTTAATTGAATCATAAATAAAAATACAAATAATAAATACTTATCTTTAGAATAGAGATAATATAAAAAATTAATAATATATTTAAATGGGATTATATTATTCTTTAGTATATTTAATGAGTATAGTTAATAATAATATGTTAAGATTAAATGATGATAAAATTAACTTTAATACTCAAATATTCATTTTAGAAAATATCATACTTTATAAATAAAAAGTCTTAAGTCTTTAAGCAGCAATCGAATCTTAGTCAGCTGACTAATTAGAAATAATAAAAAGTTTATAAAATTAAAGTTTTTTATATATTTCTATTTTAAGTTTGGTTTTAATTTCTATCATTATTCCTTTAAATTATAATGTTTAGAGTCGAAAAGAAAAAATACTTAAACTTTTTGGAACTTTTTAAAATGAATTAATTTAATAATAAATTATTAAATTTTAAAGCTGTATTTAATAAATGTAGAATAATAAAAAATAAATTGAAAATAATATAATTTAATTTTAACATTTTATACCTATTTTTGATAAATTACCCAGGTTTAATTTAAAGTTAAACTTTTTAGGATTTATTGCTCTTTTATGTATTATAATTTAACCTACTTTAAATACTTTTCAATTATGGTATTTTAAAAAAAATAGTACGGATATTTTACTTTTGAAATCTGATATATATTTTATTTTGACTTAAATTTATGAGTCTATGTCTTTTAATACTTTAGTTATGAACAATTTAAAATAGACTTAACCTTTATAATATAAATATATTGATTTAATTATAAGTTCTAATAAAAATATAACAAAATTATAAGAAAGTCTTGTTTATTTGACTAATAAATCAAATCAAATAAGCGATATGAATAATTATTAAGATTTTTATATAAATATACTTTAAGGTAATATTTGTGAAACAGTATAAGCATTTATTTAATATTTTCCTGAAAGGATTAAAGATTCATAATGCTAAGATTTATTTAAAAATGGTTTGGTGATTTCTTTTAAATATTTTTTTGATTATTTTTTAGATTTGAATAATTTGTATAATGAAAGTTAAGTAAATATTATCAACAAAATTAAATTTGAAAAGAAATATTATGATATTATTAAATTAAATTAATTATTAGATTTTGTTTCTGATGTTGTGACTGGTTTGGAGAATTATTTATTTTAATTATAAACAGATTAATATAAGCTTTTTTATTTAATTTAATAGTATTTATTTGGATAGTAATTAGTTATTATTATAATTATTTTTTTTGTTTTTTGGACTAATATGTATAGAAATTTTAAAAAATAATTATATTAATATAGACTTTATTTAACATTGTTTAATATTAACCTAATCTACTAGAATCCTTACTTTACTTAATATTTAAAAAATAAAAAGTGATTTTTTTTATATTTTTATATTAATAAAAAATTGTAAACATATATAATATATATATATATATATATATATATATATATATTTTAATTTTTCTCCAATATAAAAAAATAATATCAAGAATAATATTTTTCAAAGTATTATATTACATAAGGATTTTATAAAATATGCTTCATTTTAAAAACCATTAATAATTATTTAGTTTAAAAAATTTCTTTTGCAAATTTCTTATATAATGTATTCCATCCTATAGCAAATATAAAAAATATGACAAACATTTATAAAATAAAGAGAAGTTTAAACTTTTATGAAATACCATTGTAATTACTCTTTAATTAAAGTTAGTAATAATTCATTAATGCTATTTAACTAAAATTAATTTATTAAATTTCTTTTTCTACTAAGATGATATTTTTTTATTAAAAAACTCTTTTTACCTTTAAAATCGAAATATCATAATCTAATTAAATGTCAGAAAATAAATCAACATAAAAATCAAAATAATACTTATAACAATAAATAAGTCCTTTTTGTAAAATATTTAAGCATTCATAATTCTCTAAAGTATCAGGTAAAAAATATGTGGGATATTTTTAGAAAACTTCGCATATATTTCCATTCATTATTTGAATAAAAAATTCTTTATATAGTTCAAAATCATCATTTTTATCATTTAAATAAGTGTCCATATAATGATTATATATAATAACAAAATACTTTTTTATATCATTAATTGATTTATTAACTAAATTAAAATATCTATAATCTTATGCTTTCGATCTATATAACTCTGAAGTAATTGCATATACAAGAGATTAGCTTTCTAATAATTTAGTTTAAAAAATTAATAATATAATTTTATTTTTTATTAAGAAATTTGCTTTTTAATCGAAATCTTGAAAAATAAAAATATTTATTATTGGCTATAATATTATTATTGATATTATTAAAAAGGCAAAAATATTTATTTTAGAATCGAATTTTTTTAATTTATCGAATGTAGGCTAGAATTCTCTTAAAGGCATCTTTTATTATTATTATTGTTATTCTTAATTATTTATTTTAATTTTATTAGAAAGAAAATCCGCATATTTTTTGATTATTTATATTTATTTAAGAATTAATTAATTTTAAAATGTACCAAATAATTTAAGTAGTCTTTCATTTTAAACTTAAATATTATAATTAAGAGGAATAATTGTAAAAACTAAGATTATACTTGAAAGCATAATTGCAATCAAACTTGTTATTAGTCCATTTTAAATAATCTTTAGTTATTATCTTGCTTAAATATTTATTATATTTTATAATTAATTTAATGATACTGATATAGCTGTAAAATTTTCACATATAAACTAAAGAGTGTTAATGTAATAATATCGATCGAATCTAACTTATTTAATTATTTTTAAAATATAAATAAATGCATAGTATAAATAAATTTCTTTTTCTTAAATTTGAAAATATCCATTTCCTGATTTAAGAATTGAAATAATTTTCAAATTTAATTTCTCTTATAATAAAAATGATTTATAGTTATCATTCAGACTGTCATCTTTAAAATCAATAATATAATTTTATGCTTCTTTATTTATAATTTATTATTATTATTTTATATTTGTATACATCATATTAATTATATTATCATCTAAGTTAAAAATATTCAATTCATCGTTTTATTATATTGTTTTATAAAAATTTACATTTTTTAATGTTGTTACTATATTTTAAAACAAATATGATGAGTTATCAATTTTATTAAAATATTCTATACATTAATATATAATATCCAAGTTTAGAAAATGAAAAGCACATACAATAGATATTAATGTCAAAGAAGAAAAAAAACCAATAAATTTCATTAGTTTAAGACCTAATTAAACTTTAGGCTACTAAATATTTTTTAGAGTATATTTTATTAATTTTTTTAATAATTATATTGTTTTCTACTTTTTCTTAATCTTCAATTGATAAGAGATTTTAGCTTTTAAGAAATATGTTTTTGTTTAGTGTTTTAAGACCTGTATTATTTCTCTTTTTTGTTAAAACCAAATTTTCATGAAATTTTGTTGTTTTTTTTTTAAATTTAACTAATTATGAAATTATATTTAATAATTTTTAAGTTTAATTTCTAACACTGGAAATTTATTTTATTTCTAGATATTTCATTATTTTATTTCCATTATTTAAGGAATTTAATTCTTTTATTATAAATTTTATCTAAAACACAGTATTATATTATTTGTTTATTTATTATTTAGATAAATTAGTATGAGATACATCAATATTAGAATTAATTGCGTAATCAAGAAGTATATGCCCGTCATAAATTTAATTTATTTAAAAAGATTAAAACATCTCTTACATTTAGGGTATTAAAGTTTTAATATTAAATTAAGAAATTTAATCTTTTTTGTGCATAAAAAAAACTTTTTAATATATATTTTCACTTATATTAATTATTTATCCATCTGCATTATTAAACAAAATATATTCATTATCTTTTTATTTCTTTTCACAAAGTAAACATACTCCGAAATCATCAATAAAATTCTAAAATTTAATTTTTAAATATAAAGGAATTAAGAAGCCTTAACCATTTAATCCTAAAACAAATCTTTATCCTATATAAATATATATATATATATATATATTTAGTATAAAAAAAAAAATATAATATTATATTTATTTTACAATATTTAATTTAAATATTCAAAATTAAATATTATATATTAGAATAGATTTTATATATTTAAATATATATATATATTATTCTATATTATATATCGATTTCAAATTATTTATATTTTTATATTTTAATTTTAAATATTTCTATAATTAATTATTGCTAGAATTTGTCTAATATTTATAATTTAATTTTAATTTTATTTATCATGTATTCAATATTTAATATTCATTATATAAAATTATATTATCAAATTTTTAATAAATAATATTTTATTTATAATAAATTATTTAATATATATATAAAATTTTATACCTTAAGTAATTAAAGATATTGATATATCTTTTTTAAATTAAGAAATTAACAATTCATGTTAGTCTTAAAATTCATTTGGTAATAAAACACTTATATTTTTTCCAATTATAAAAAATGTATCTACATCAAATACTTAACTGAAAGACTTTGAAACATTTCTTATAATTCCATTTGTATTTACTAAAGTAGCGAATATAACACATGCATTTTATTTTTAATATATATTCTTGACATTATTTGTATAATTATTTTTTTAATAATCTTTTATTGTAATATCTTAAAATTCTATGCTTTATATGTATATATATGTTAGTTATAATAATAAGGGGTCTTAATTGTTTAAATTAAAAGCTTATTTTATTAATTTTTTCAAATTATATAGTCTATTATATTAATTTTGTTGATTTATTTTTAAGATTTTCTAAAGAAATATTTTTTTCAATAAGATTTTAATATAATTCTGTTTTATTTGTTAATTAGTCCATAAGTAATTACTTCATAAGCTATAATTTATCTTCAAATATTATTATATTATACATTTATAATTATTGATTAACTATTTTTGTTGAAATAAAAAAAGATTCAAATTGTTTCTCTACTTTTTAAATTACAATCTAACTACATAGTTTATGTATAAAATTCTAATATTTAAAAGCAATGTAATTTTTCAAACAAAAAGATTTACATACTGCATTCATAATTTCTAAAGAAAAATTTGTGTATATAAGAAGTATTAAAAAATGATCATTATTATTTGATTTTAATTATATACATTGTTCAAATACATTTTATATAAAATATAAAATAAACTTTTTTCTTAAATCCTAACCAAAAAAGCTTTTCATATTTACGTCATTTATAATTTACTATAAAAGTAATATGTAAAAAATATATATAATATAAATATATATAATATATATATATATATATATATATATATTATATATATATTATATTTATTTTAATTACATTAAAATTACAAAAACAAGCTACTTTTTCAAAAGTGCAATTATTGTTTATGTGATTAGTATATAAAGTTTCGAATATAATTCCTTGATTGTTATTCATATAATCTTCTAGAAAAAATTCTTAATTATTTAATATATATCTTATATACATATCTATTTAATTTGCTCTTAAGTTTTTAATATTATTTATATTTAATAGATTCTTAAGTATTTAATAGTTTTAATAATTTTTATAAGCATATACTAACTTAATTAATATCGGAATATTAATAATTAATAATTCAATATCAAATTAATTCTTTACAATTTTCGTTTAGAATATAATCGTAAAGGATATTGAAAAATTCAATAAATTCCAAAACAAATTAATATGTTTTATGTTATCTTATATGTATATTTATTCTTTTATTTCTAAAAAAATTCTGAATACATAATAATTTATCATATATATTGAATGGATCGTTTAACTTAAAAAATAATTTGAAAAAATTATAAAGAACTTTTAAACATAACTTATTAATTCTAATCTTGAAAATCTTTTGCACATATAGTTTTTCTTATTAAATGAATAATTAAAATTAGTCATAGAAATAAAAAACCCTTTTTTTTATTATATATATATATAATTTAAATTTACATTTTTTTAATTTTACCAAAAAAAAAAGTAATAATAATGCTCATAGTAGCTAATATTGTATAGTAAATGTGAATTTAATTTTTTACAATAACTAAGCAAAATTCTAAAATTAAAAGTACTAAAATATAGTTATGTAAAGATATATAATATGCAAATAATTGGAAAACTTTTTCTTTAATGTTTTAAATTTTTTTAAAAGAAAATAATACAAAAGAACATATAAGTATCTAAAATAAAGTATTTAAGGTAAACATTATTAGAAAAGGTATTATAATTAAATTTTATTAGTCACCAAATAAAATAATTCCAAATTAATATAATTTACTTTTTATTAATTCGAAAAACATATTATGTAAATTATCATTTGAGTTTTTAGTTTTATTAAACTATAAATATAACTATTATATTTGACTCAGCAATGTAATAATAATTGTAGATAATTAAGAATAAAATATTTTTTAATATATACATGAAAAGTTATTCAGAACATTTAATTTTATAATATTAATTAACTTCATGTATTCTTTTAATTTAAATAATTTAAAATCAAATATTATAATATAATAAAAAATTACTATTTGAAATAAAAACTATTTTTTTAAAAAAAATAATAATAATAAAGAAAATAAAATTAATTTACATTTAAATATATAAAGCTAATAATTTAAAAATATTTATTAGTTTTTGTTTTTATCTTACAAATAATTAATTAGATATAGGAATATATTATTACGATTAATTATATATAAAAAGATAAGTAGATATAGAAAAGTTAATTATTAAAATTATATAATACGATATATAAATTAAATTGAAATAAATATTTTTATATATATTTTTTATTTATAATATTAATAATATGAATATTCGTATAATATAAAATTAATATTTTTTTATATAAAAAATTCTTTAAAAAAAAATTATTAAAAAATAGTATAAAATTATTACAAATTAAAAATAATTTATTACTATAAAATATTTATTTTCCATTATTTCTTTATTATATTTATATAAATTTAACTCTCTTCTCTCTTTTATACATTAAATAAAAAATCAAATTATTATAAAAACAGATAAAATATATAATATCCCACAAAATAAAAATATGAAATCAATCAGAAAGAAATGGAAATAAGGTCGTTTTTAAAGAATATAAAACGTCTTTTCTTAAAATAAATAAGATAATTAACAAGAATAAAATATTACTCTTTTAGAACGTTTATAATCTAATCAATAAAACATAAAAGAAATCGCAGTAATAACATTAGCAAATATAACCCACAATACTCCATAAAACATTTTAGGTAAATAAAATAAATTTATAAAATAATAATAAAAAAATAAAAAAAGATATGTGTATAAAAGAGCCTATATTAAAAGAACTTCTTAATATATTAGATGAACATAATGAAATAATAATTATATATGCTTTAAACGCAATTACTAATTTATTAGGACTAGAATACCATATTAAATTATAGAATAATATTGAGTTAAATGTTTCTTCTTTTTTTATTGAAAAATGTCTTTTAGCAAAATTGGAGAAATTGACTATTTTGGTAAAAAATCATATTAATTTATAAAGTATTTCTAATGAAGAAAGAACTAAAAGCTTAAAAATAATATAATCTATATTCGAACTTTTATCGTGTTTATGTGAAAATGTATAAGAAAAATATTTAAGGATTATTACTGATTCTCCTTTATCTTAAGGTATTTTTTTGTTTTAAAAAATAAATATATATTTATATATATAATTTAAATTATTCCTTTTTTTTTTTTTAGTTTTTTTAAGAGAATGCATTGAATATATAAAATATGCCGATAATGATTTATTAAATGCACTTTTAGGTTATTTTTAAATTTATTCTGAATGCTCTGGGTTAGTTTGCTAATAAATAATCGAAAATAACTTTTTAATGGAAAGTTTTGCAAGGATATTGAAAAGAAATAATATTACAGATTTAAAATATTAGGCTTAAGTAATAAGTATATTATATAATGTACTAACTACTTGCGAAAATAAACTAAATGAAGAATATTAGGCTATTTTTAATACTATGTGCTAGTTTATTATTTAAACTTTGAGTATAAAAATATTTTATGAATTAAATAATTTAAAAGATATTATTTAACATAATTTTTAAAGTATTCTTTCTTAAATTAAAAATGATGAAAAAGATATAAATGAAACTAATGAAAATGAAAATGGTAAAAAAATAATATTTATATATATATAAATATATATTTATATTTTAAAATAGAAGTAATAAATGATAATCAAGAAGATGATAAAAGCAAAGAAGCTTTAAAAATATGGTTAATAACAGCCGAAGCAATTGAGCTTTTAATGGGAGTTTTAGTAAATATATTCGAAAAAGAATGCGAGTCAGATATATATGAAGACGAAGAGAATATGAATAGTGATTGTGATGAAGATATTGAAGAATAAAAGGAAATTTAAGTGGTAAAAAGTGTAAATAATATAGTAGAAAATAAAGTAAAATAATATATGATTCAATAGCTTTTGAAATAATCTTAAATTTTATAAATGATATGTGAAAAATGCCTAATTGTAGATAAATAAATTGTCGAGTTTTTCAAGTAATATGGAGAGACTGGAAATTTGGTTTTAGAATAGATTTTTTCGATTGTGAATTTTGGGTTGAGTACTATGACAAATTTATGCTTTAATTATTTTAAGGAAATTAATTATTTAGATGAATGGTAGTCTATATTGGCAGAAATTTGGAAAGATTTTAAGATTAAATTGGAGGTTTTTTAGCCTAATTTTGGAGAGAAAAATGAGGCGATTTTAAGCGTTAATTTAAAGCTATTTTTTTAGGTCTAAAAATAAAATAATATGTAACTTATTTCCTGTAAAGAATTGTTTTAGGTAGCTTAATAAATTTTTGGAATGGAAAAATAAAATTAAGAACTTTAGCTAGTATTTTTAGATATTTTAGCTTTTAGATGCCATCCCAAAATGAATATATCTATTGAAGAAAACACTGAGGTGTGTATATTGCTAAAAAATTTACTAAATAATAATGATCCAATGGTCGCAGCAAATGCTTTAAACGTAATTTTTGATGTATATTCAGAAGAAAATTATGATAAGCAATTTATGGAATAAGGAATGCTTTAAATTTTAATAATAGGTAGAGATTTAATGTAGGGAAAAATGTAAGAATTAAAAAAATAAGTAAATAAGCATGATTATGAATTTATTAAAGAAACATTAGTTAATTTAAAAAGATTTATAAAATATAAATAAATAAATATTAAAGTGTGAAAAAAAAAGTATAAATATTTTAATAAAAATAAAAGATAAATATATAAATATATAAATATATAATATATATATATTATATATTTATATATTTATATATTTATATATAAATATTTGTAATTTGTTATTATTGTTTTTTATTAATTTTTTTAATTTTTTTAATTTTGAAGTTTATTAATATTTATTAAATTAAATTAAATTTTTTTTTTATCAATTTATTCATTCTATTATTTTATAATTCATATTAGACAAATAATAATTTATATTTAAATATTATACTAATATTTTATCTTTTTAATTTTATTTATGTTCTTTGTACTTTATTAATTTTTATAAATAAATAAAAGAATTTTTTAAAAAATATTAAAATAATTAATAAATATTAAAAAAAAAAATTAATTTATCAAAATAAAAATATAATGTCATCATAATAATAAATAATAATAGGAATTCGTAGAGAAGATAAATCAATATGGGAAAGACGTGCAAGTCTAACTCCAGAAGACATTTAATAATTATTATTAGAAAACCCAAATATAAAATTTATAGTATAACCAAGTGAAACCAGGATTTTTTCTAATTTTGAATACGAATAAGTTGGTGCTATTATAAAAGAGGAACTCTACGAATGTTAAGTTATATTAGGAGTAAGGGAAATTCCTAGAGATAAATTATTAAAAAATAAGACTTACTTATTTTTTTCTGATACAACTAAGGCTTAGGTTAATAATATGAAAATGCTAGATTGTATATTAGAGAAAAACATCCGATTAATAGATTATGAGAAAATTTAGGACGGAAATAATACCAGACTGATTACTTTTGGTAAATTGGCAGGTATTTCTTCATGTATAAATTTTTTGAGTGGATTAGGACTTTTTTTACTGACTAAAAATATCGCCAGTCCATTTATTAATATAAGTTTGACTCATAAATATTTCTCTATTGAACAGGCTTATTAGTAATTGAAAATGGTTTCTAAAATATTCCAAAAATAGGGTATTACTCCATCTCTTCGTCCTTTAATTTTCGCAATTATTGGAAACGGACGCTGTGCTTAGGGTACATTGGAAGTTTTGTAAAATTTCCCAATTAAAATAGTTAGTCCAGATGATTTATAGCTAATTTGTGCAGATAAAAATAATTAAGAACATGGAAAATATATATATGTAGCTTAATTTAAACATTAGAATATTGTTGAAAATTAGGGATATTATTAAGATAATAATAATACACATAATAATGAATTTAATAAATCACATTATTATTAGTTCCCTTATGAATATACACCTATTTTTCATAATAAATATCTTCCATATATTTCAGTGATTTTCTAAAATATGTAATGGGAAAAGAAATTCCCAAGACTTATTACTGATCAATAACTTCAGTAAATTGTGCCTTTAAAACTGCTTGGAATTTGTGATGTTTCCTGCATGAAAGAAGGCGCAATTTAGTGTGTGAAAAAAATCACTACACCAGAATGTCCGTTTAATGTGGTGGATATTGTATAAAATAAAGTATATGATGGACCAGCATATAGGAAAAATGGTATAATATTTCTAAATATGGAAGATTTGGCAAGGGATTTAGCATATGATGCTAGTATTTATTTATCTGATAAAGTAAAAAAGTTCATTATTAATATAAGTTAGGGATCTTTTGTGTAAAATTTTTAGGAAAGTCAATTAGAGGAGTGTATAAAGAAGGCTGTGGTTACTGATTGTGGAAAGTTGACGAATTGTTATAAATATATACAAAAATTAAGGATGTGGAATGAGGATATTTAATAATAAGATTATGATCATAATAATAATAAAGGAATTTCAAATAATATGACTAAATCAATGAGCTTTTCATCTATTAAAATTGAAGGACATATTTTTAATACTTAGTCAATTAATAAAATTATGAGTGTATGTTAAAATTAAAATATAAAGTTTAATATTGCGGAAATATATGCAGGATAAACTGACGAGGAAAAATCGAGCTTTATTTTATAACTTTTTGGTGAATGCTAAGATGTTATGATGTAGGTTTTGGAAGAAATTGAGAAAATGGCATAGAAATTTGAATTTAGTATTGAAGAATCACATTATCCAGTTCATTGATTATATTTTTATTTAGTTTATATAAAAAAGATATTTATATGTATTTTTTTATGTTTTCTTTTTTTAATTTTATACAAAAAAAAATATAATAAATGTATTATTACATTTTTATAAAATAAATATATATATATATATATATATATTTTTTTTTTTTTTTATTTTTAATTTTATTTAATTTTGTAAATTAAATAAGTAAATAAAAATAAATACAAATAAAATTAAATATGCTAATTTTTTATATAATTATATAAAAATAAGTTTTAAATAGTTATTTTAATTTTTATTATAAATATTATTATACGTATATATATAAAAAAATATAATATTAAATATATTTTTTATATATATATTTTAATATATATTTATATTTAATTTTAATATATTTATTTTTTTATGTAAAACAAACTAGATCTAGTTTTAGAAGAAGTGAAAATACTTAAAAATAATACTAAAAAATACAAGCATTTATTAGAAGTTTATTTAATTTAATTTTTATTCTAAAATTTTTTAATTTATATATATATATTTATTTTTTTATTTATATAGATTATAGATTAATTTTATAATGAATTAGAAGGATAAATGAGAATTTAATAAAAAACAGGGTTTAAATTTCCTATAGATAATTTTAATTAATTGATAGAAACAATAGCAGAAACAAAAAAATCGAAAGTGAATATATATTTTTTGTCTTTTATTTAGAATTTGTTAAATCTTTAATTATTAAATTATGTTAAACATAAATATATATATATATATATATATATATATATATATATTTAATATTTTATTTTTTATAAAAAAAAGACAGCACATGATAATATTTTAAATTATTTATTAAAAATTTAAGAATTAAATAAAGAACAAGTTCAAATAAAAGTATAATAAACATTTTTTTTATTATTAGATCCTTCAACAATAAGTATAGAGAATTCAGTTTTTATTGAAAAAGTATTAAAAATGCTAATTTTAATGAAGAGTTCTAAAAATTAATTATTATAAAATACGTCTTATAGTTCTTTAGACTAATTAATAGAAAATATTATTAATGAAGTAATTTAAAATAACTAAAAAAATCTAGAAAAATAAAGACTATTGGCACAATTGTTATACGATTTTATAGTTGTTGCTGACGAATAAAAAAGTCAATGGTGGCCAAAAAATATAAATGTAGATAAAGAAATAGGTTTTTAAGTTATTTTTTATGCCTTAAATATGATTAGTAAAAAATGTTTTCACTCAAAAGAAATTTAAAATTTATTTAAGTTTAATTTATTTCCTCTAATAAAGAAAAATATTAATATTTAATAAAATTCTCAATAATTTAGTATTTAATAAAATTAAAATATATATATATTATATTATATATAAAAATATTTTGTATATATATTATTATTATATATATTAATAAATATATTTTTATTTATATAAATTTATTTAAATATTATCTTTTAATTATATATTTTCATTAATAAATATAATTTATTTTTTTATTTCAACAGTGTTAAGTTTATATAGAGGAATAGTAAAATCAATTATTTATTTAGAAGATGAATTTGAATAACTTGAGATTTATTTTAAATTTTTGTAATAAAAAGAATTAGTAATTTCTAAATTTTTAAGTTTTGAATGTATAAATTATTTTATTTCTCAATCAGAAATACTTTTTATGTTTTTAATTTAATTAGATATTAAAAAATAAGATAATGTAATTAAATTTTATTAATTATATATATTGTATTTTTTAAATTAAAAAAATAGATTTTTTTTTAGTTGTTAAATTTAATATTATAAATTACTAAAGATCTAAGTTCATTAAGTGATTAATAATTTTTAAAATTCTTATAAATATCTCCTAAAGTTTCAAAAGTAATTGAAAATAACGATAATGATATTGAATTTCCATGTATAAGTCATTCTTTAATAATGAAGGAATGTCTTGATTTTTATCATAAACTTTCAATTAGTTTAGAGATAATTTTTTCTACGAAACTTGGAATAAAACTGGGTAAAAAGAAATAGAAAAGTAGTGCTAATTTTGATATTTTTTATTCTATTTTTGATATTATTTGGAAAAATGTATATTAGTCTATAAAGCTTTTATTAACTAAATAGACAGACGAATAATAATTTTAGAATTTATTAAATACCATTTAAACATTTACAAATTTATCAGGTTCTATTGGAAATGTTTCTGCTTCAGATTAATTTATTAAGGCTATTTGTAACTATTCATTACCTAAAAATTCAGATATGACACCTAAAAATATTTAGACTAATAAAATGGTTTTAAATATATCCCATTGTTTAGGAAGTAATTAAATTTAAGAATATAGCACAAATAATAATATATATATATATATATATATATATATATATTTATTTATATATATATATATATATATATATATATATTTAGATTTACTTGATACTAATGGATGGTTTTATATTCTTACTTTTTTATAAAAAAGTGAATACTTGTATAATAAAAATAGAATAGCAAGAGATAATACTTAAGAAGAATAAATTAAGTTAAGTGATATTTAAATATTGTAGAATACATTAGATTATTTATTTTAAAATAGTGCAAATTACGATAATGATCATTTATTAACTTTTATTAATTCTCTTTTTTCTATTACTTTTGAATATATATCAACTGAAAATAAAATACTTTAGAAAAAAAATAATGATAATTCTTCTGTTTTTAAATAAAAGCATAGTATTTTTTCAATTTAAAAAATTTATGAAACAATTAAGGTTAACTTATATAGAATAGATATGTACTAAATATATATTTATATGTAATTATTTATTTTTTATTTATATAAAGATTATGGGATTTAGTATCAGCTAATTTCTTAGTATTATGTACAAATAAAAATCAATACTTTCGTGAAAAAGCAGTTGAAAGTCTCGGTGATTTTATTTTGGAAGCTTTTTAATTTATAGCAGACAGTTATAATCAATAAATATAAGAAAATAGCGATAATAATTCAAATAATATAAGTAGTAATAGCAGTAATAATTCTAGTTAAGATTAACCTGATATTAAATAATCTTAAAAAAAACCAAAATAAAGAGGAAATAATCATAAATTTAAAAATAAAGAAAAATGGACAAAAGAAGAATGGCAACATACACTATTTTAACCTTGGATTGATGTAATAAAATGCGGATATAATGAAAGTAAAGAAGTTATAATGAATAATATACTAAAGATTCTATAAAATAATGGACATATGATCAATAAAAATGGATGGAATCAATTATTGAATATTCTTAATAAAATATCAACTGATTCAGATTAAAATTATGTCTGTCGAGGAATCAAATGTATCGAACTTTTAGTCAATCAATATCTTTCTAATTTACATCATTCAAAATTATCTAATTTACTGAAAATTATTGAAAATTTTAAAAAATACTCAAGTATAATTTTTTTTTAAAAAAATATATATTAATAATATATATATATATATATATAATAATATATATATTTATATATATATATATAAATAAATATATATATATTTATTTATACATAGATGATAATAATATTAATTATTTAAGCTGTGATATGTTCTGGCATATAGGAGATCATTTAGTCAAACATTAAACAAATCAAAATTAAATTTAAATGCTTACAAAGGAAGAATTCGCATAATTAATGTAGTCTATTCTTGAAAAATTACTTTTCTTATGTACTGATCCACATGCAGAAGCTAGAAATTCTGCATAGCACATATTCTCGTCGTTAATTGTACATAATTTTACGAAATTATAAAGCATAGATATATTAAATAGTATGGTTTGGGAAATGGCTGAGAATGTTCTTTTAAAGTTAAAATAGGAAATGTAAAAAAACTAAAACGATAAATTAGTTTATTGGGAAGAAACAGCATAAAATACATGTCAACATCTATGTAAAATAATAAAAAGAAGTGTATAATTACACGAAAAACCCGAAAATGATAGCGAAATATAAAACATACCCGAAATAATAGATAGAGTAATGTAGATTTTCTTTAAATATATATAAGTTAATTTAAGTGATATTTCTGTGGAAGTAATAAAATCATATAGAGAAATATTTAAATTAAGGCCATTTATTTGTATATAGAATTTTAATAATAATAATAATTTTGAGAATTTATTAGTTTATTTATAGAAATAATTTAGTTATGTACCTAATAATATTAAAATTATCAAAAATATATTCCAGAAATTAATCCCAGAATGTATTTTTATTTTAGAAGATTTTTGTTTACTTTCTATTGAAAATAATAATAATGTTTTTTTAAATATATATAAATCTCATATAGGAAGTGTTTTTTAACTTTTTAATTCGATTTTAATGTATTCTTAATTAGTTAGTGAAGATATTAATATGAAGTAGTAAAAAATATTTTTCGATGAAAAATAATATGTCGAACTTTTAGAAAAAATGTCCAAAAATACACATTTATAGTAAGAATATAACCTTTTTTTTAATAAATTGATACATTTGCCAGTTAAATCAATTGTTATAGATGGACTAAAAAGAAAATTTATACCTGTTATCATTAATCATATAAAAAATGGAAATAATATACCTTCTTAAGTTATTATAGAACATATTTTTGCAATTCAGAGCTGTATTTTAGCTAAAAATAGTATTGAATATATGGAGTTATTAAATAATATTAAGCAAAGGCCTATATGGGCTATATGTACTGAAATATTTGTTGATATAGTTAACTTTTTATTAGAAAAAAGTTAAGATTTATACCTAGAAATTCTCTATAATATAATATACAATTACTTTATGAATAATAAATATTCAATTAATGATTTAATAAAATACTATACACCAGATTAAATAAAAGAATATTTTGAAGGAGAAAGAATATTATTAGAATTAATAATGTATAAGCTTTTGCCAAATGTTTCTAATGAAAATATAGGTAAATTCGCAAATATTTTATTTTAAAATTCAAATTTAAAAATGGAAAACGAAAATGCGATTTCATAATTTAATTTAGAAGATTTAGGTATACATTTTAATAAAAATTGTCTTACTTTTTTGTGTAAATTTTCATCTTAAGATTCTATTTTATAAAATTAGGAGAAAAATATACTCTTTTTACCCTTTTTTTTAAATAGGTGTAGAATTATATTGGATAATTTCGTTTAAGAGTAAAAAACATTAGCATCAGTCTCATATAAAGCGTAAAAATATAAATATATAAATATATAAATATATAAATATATAAATATATATATTTTTATATTTTTTTTTATTTTTATTATTTTTATTTATATTAAGAACGAAAATAAAAGATATAGATTTTGTCTTAAGTTTAATAAAAAATTTAAAGATATATCATAACTCTTTTAAGATTATACATAATAATGGTATTTTCTAATAATTTAATTTACCTTTTGAAATTTCTAACAATAATGCTTATTATTTAAATAGTTAATACGGACATCTTATTTATCTTTTTCCTTTACTTAAATAGTGTTTGACTATTTAGCAAGATTATATATAAAGTTAACTTAATATCATATTTATTAAAATTTAGGAAATATTAGAAATCGATTAATATTATTAATGAAAAAAATAAAAAAATAATAACATAAATATATTTATATATATAAAGAAATTAAAATTTTAAATATATTAAAAATTTAAATAAAACATTATAAATATTTCATATTTTAAGAGTATTAATATTATTATATAGTGTTTAATTTTAAATACTAATTAAAAACTTCCACATATTAACTTAATCATCATATCCATCAACTTTATAAGGTATTCTATTAATTTTTTCGAATTTAAAAACACTATCAATAGTTAATTTAAATGCATCATCAAGCATTCTTGGTATTAATTACTATAATAAGGCACTACTTTCTTCTATACAAGGATTAGTATTAATTTCTATAAGCCAAGGATTTAAATTATAATCAAGCATGAAATCATATCCAAATATTTCGAAAGAAAAGCTTCTATTTTTTAAGTTGATTTTATTTTAGACACTTAATAAACTTATTTATATATTTTTTTGAATTTAAGGTAATATAGTATTCTTAAATGATATATTTATATTGTTTTAGTTTAAATATTCCTAAAATTATAAAAAACTCATTTAATTGCCATTTTCGAATTAACCGTAATTTTTACTGTATTATTAAACAGCATTATTTGTTAGATGAATAAACGGGTTTTTTAAATTTTTGATATCGAAAATCTCAGAACTTGTTCTAAGATAGCCTTCTTGGAAAATATAAACGTCCAAATTTTAACTTAATAAAACCCAGATTCGGATGTCGAATTTCCTCTAGTCGATAAGGAAAGGTCTCTCAATGTATTTTTGGATTACAAATTAAGATTCTTTTAATATAAATTTATCTTGTTCTTATTATTCTTATTATGGTTCTTGGTATTTTTTTTCAGGAAATCCGATGTAGTATTGGTTTAATAGATTTTCTAATTCTTCTAATGTTGTAAATATTTCGATTCCTCGTCCTCTGTTTAGGTTTATGGGCTTAATTAACCAAATGTACTCGAATTCTTAATCGTTTTTTTTATAAATGTCCTTCATTTGTAAACAACAAGTCTCTGTTTCAATAAATTAGTTGTTAAAGCTTTATAATGTGCTTATAATAAATTAAAGTTTGGATTAATATTTAACGTTTTTTCCTATTTAGATTGCTTGTTTAGTTTTTGGACGATCTTAGGGCAGGTTATTGTTAAAATAGGCTACGAAACTCGATAATTCAATTTCATAGTTATATTAATCGAGATTTATTTAAAATGTAATTGGAGTTATATCGAAAACATTTTTTTTTGTTTCATTACAATATTATTTTAAGTTTTTTATTAGTTTACTTTTGCAAGTTATCTCTGAGTGAAACTCGAAATGATTACATATTTTTTTTATATTACTAGTTCTACTATTATATTTTCGAAATCTATATATTTATATAATAATATATATAATATATATATATATATATATATATATATATTCCAATTATTACTTAATGTATCTACTTTATGGAAACCATTCTAAATTTGCATCCATATTTTTTGAAAACTCTGTTATTTATTAAAAAACTTATCTTTATTAAAGTATTTTTTATACAATTTAATGATTATTGCCTTTACATATAAACATTTGGTATTAAATAGGTTTTTCTTAAATAATGTTTTTATTATTATCATTTTTTTTCGTTATGATAGTATTTTTTTAGGAGTTATTTATTTAGAGGAGCTTTGGGAAAGTAGTATTGAATGTTTTCTTTTTTTTTTTTTATTGCTTTTCCATTTTTTAAATTTACTGTTATTATTAATCTTATAGTTAATTTTTTTATTTATCAGTATATTTTTAATAAATTTTTTTAATCGATAAATTGGCTAAGTGTTAGTTTTCCAAAGAATTTTTATTTTAATTGTTTATTATTTAGTTATAATTTTATAAGTTTTATAAGCTTTATATCTTTTCGTTTTTTTTAAATTGATTTTCGGTATAAATAACTTTTTTTCTATCAATATGATATTATTATAATAATAATTATTGATTTTAAGATAAAACATAAGATTGTTTTTTTTATGAATTATTTTTAATCTTTTTTCTATATTATTTTCTATTATTTTAAATTTAAAAAAAGTTTTAATCAGAATAAGTCTTTTATAAAGTCATAAATTTCTTATTGCATTAATAAGGATATAATTCTTATTTAATTTAGTAACAATTTTATATTTTTTTTTCGGAAAAGTTTATTTTGTGTGTGTTTTAAATTTATTAAGTTTCAAAATAACTAAGATATATTTTATTATTAATTTAACTTAATGTTTGCATTAATTATTGAAGATTTTAATATTAAAAAAACAAGCCTTTTTTAATTTTAATTTTTATTATGACTTTTGTATAATTTTTAAATAAAAAAAAATTAAATAATGACTAGATATATATTTTAATATTAAATGTTTTGTAAAATAACTTAAACTGTTAAAAATATAATAAATTAAATAAAGTTATTTTTTTTATTAAAAAAAATAGGTAATAAATAAATATATATTTAAAAATTTTAAAAAATATAAAATAACAACAAAAATTAAATTAGATTAAAAAAATAAATTTTATATTTATTTAAAAATTAAAAAATATAAAAAAATTATTTTAATAATATTATTAATTAAATTTAAATATTAAATATAAATTTTTTAATTATATATCAAAACTCCTTTTTTGATATTAATAAAACCCTCTGTAAATCTTCATCTTCAAAACTTTAACTTTATTAATTAAAATTAAAATCTTCCTAAAAATTTTGTTTATCGTTTTCAACCTAATTTATATTTATATCTTCATTATAACTAATTATTTTTTATTTATTCTTTTATTATATTTAATTAAAAATAAAATAAAATAAAATTAGAATATTTTGTATTATATATATATATATATATTTATATAATTATATATACTTATTTTAATTTTTTCTTTATTTTTAGTTTTCATATTCTTCTTCATCACTTTCAATTATTTTTTATAATTAATTGATTTTTTTTTAAAACTAAAGAATTTTTATTATTTTATTATGTTTATTTTTATTTTATAATTATTATTATTATTATTATTGTTATTACTCATTATCTTTATTTTTTTTCTTAAAATTCTTTTAGGTTTTTCATAATTTTTTTTATTCTTATATTTACTTTTTTAAATTTATAAAGTTTTTTGAGTTTATTAAATATTTTTTAATAAAAATAATAAATATTTTTTACTTATTATTATTTTTATCTTCTTGTTTTTATCTGAAATTCGTTATTTCTATTCTAATTTTTATTTCTTTTATACCTCTATTCATCGGAATATTCATTATATTCTTCATCATCATCATTAATATCATTAAATTCATTACTTTATTCTGATAAACTCTCACTTTTTTCAGGTTTATATTCTTCATCATTTTATTCTATTATACTTTCTTTTTCATTATTAGAATTATCTTCTAGTTCTTCTTAATCATAATCCGATAATTAATATGAAAATTGACCTATACCATTTTTAATATTTACTTGTTCCTATTAATTTTTCTAACAAATACCAGGGTGATTTAATTTATCTTTCATGATAATAAAATTTATTTAAAAAAACGCTAGTATAAATATATACCTTTTAATAAAATATTTCTTCCACATTTATGACATAAATATGTCCTTGATTAACATTAAATAATATGATTTTTATGTGTACTTTAAGCCACATCTGTTTAACAAAATTCGCAAAAAACAGGCTTTTCTAAACAATTATCTTATTGATGTTTTTAAAGATTTTTTTTCTCTATTTATTATTTACAATATTAACATTATATCTTTTTTTTTTTTTTTTTCATTAATTATTTTTTTATAAATAAATTAATAAACTTATTAATGATCACTCATATGCGCTTCTGGGTCTTTACTATCATAAAATTAATCGCATTTTTTACATTTTATTACAAATCTAAAACAATATGATTAATGTAAATCTAATTTATTTTTATCAACTTCTATATTACTATTTTTTTTTTATTTTTTAATATGTATATATATATTTATAAACCAATTTTAACAATTTTCCATTTTTTTGTTTTTTTTTTTTTATTATATAATAGAAAATAATAATATAATTATTATTTTTTTTAAAAAAAAAAAAAAACAAAAAAAACAAAAAAACTATTCTTATAAAAATATATTAAAAATCAATTTATTTTTTATAAATAAATAATTTTATAGTAATAACTAAATATATAATTTATTCAATTTATTTTTTTTTAAATACAAATAATTTATTTAAATAATAATTAAAAAAAGTTATAAAAAAAATATTATTATATATATTAAATAAAAATGGCTGACGTAAGAGAATAAAGAATATATTGCGCTGAATAAATAGTTGTCCCACCTGAATTGCCAATTATCTTAAAGCACTATTCCAAAGAAGTAATTAGACATAATCCAGCTAATATTTATGAATTTTCCTCAAAGTAATTGTTTTTTTTATTTTGCAAATTTATATTTTTTTTATTTTATTATTAAAAATAGATATTTTAAAGATTTGATTGAAAAAAGAAGTAAATTTATAATATATAAATAATGCAAGATTATTAATTTTTTTTAATAATTAATAGAAAACAATACTGATAAATAACTAATAAATGTATTAGAAAAGCCAGATTCATAGCCTAAAGTGTGAATAATATAAATAATACATATTATAAAATAAATAAAATATTCGTTTATTATTATTATTATTATTAAACTATACATATTCATTTTTTTTTAAAAAAAAAATATTATTAACTAATATTATAAAAATTGTAATAAAATGGGTGTTTTTTTTTTTTATAAAAAAATAAAAAAAAATATGAATATAAAAGTTAATTTTTTTATTATTATTATTTATAAATAATATATCTGATTTTTTTTTTTTTTT